GCTAAAGGCCTTCTGCAACCATTCCAAACGCATTACAAGCATCTGGTGGAAACCACTGGGAAGGGCAACCCAGATAAATTTCATGCAGACAAGGGATGGCTTGGGAAGTTTAAAAATCGCTACAGTTTGCGAAATTCGAGGGAGGGGGGGTTGCAGGAAGAACCACTGAGTGCTCGGTCAGCACAGAAGTACTCCATGCAGGTCCAGAAATTGATTAGAACTAGAAGCTATGTGCCTCCACAGGTCTTCCATGCCAAGGGCATGAACTTTGTTTTGGAAGTGCACCCTTAATGGACTTTTATGGGAAAAGACCATCCAGAAATCTTAGAGGAAGCTAAAAACAGGATTTTCCTTATTTTTGTGCCAATACCTCAGGTGACAAAAAGATAAAACTATTGCTGCTTTATAAAGAGCCTAATCCCACTTGTCTTTTGGAGAAAGATTAAAAACACACACACGAACAGAAACTCTGTTTCCTGGCAATCACATTGCAGGCTATCATTAACTAACTGCTGCTGCCCTCTTTTTGGATTGGTTTCATAATTGTTTTATCCATCAAAGCCTGGAATTACTTAACAGAAAAAAATCTTGAATTCAGAGTGTTGCTAATTTTGGACAGAGGTCCCAATCACCCAGACTCATTCTTTGCTCATCCTAATGTGATACTGTGTTTCTCCCTCTGGAAGGCGCAAGCTGTCTTCAGCCCTTGGATCATGGAATAATTGAATCATTCAGGAGATATTACACCAAGCATACGTTTGACGACTTTGCTGATTGTATTGGGAAAAAACACCCTTGCTTTTGAAAGAAACATGGCAATAAGAACAACACTGCAGACACCTTGGTAATGAGAAAAGGTGATGGATGATATAAAACCAGCCACTCTTACTAAAGCCTGGTGGAGCCTCCCCCCCAATGGTCTGGTCAGGTCCTAATGTGAATGATTATGCACATTTCCCTAGAAGACATTGGGGGGAAAAATCAGAGTCTGCAAAATGGATGGGCTTTAAATTCATCAATATAGCTGAAAATGAAATCAGTGAGGTACTCAAGTTTCAAGTTTTGGCAATAACAAGAGTCTGTAGGTGAGGAAGAAGACAAGTCCCCCAAATCAGAGGTAAAGATGAACCTAAGGAAAATGAATGCTGTCTTGCACTCTGGCTGGTACCTATGATGCTGCAATTAATGTGGATCTTTCCCAAATTGAAATTTGACCTTTAAAAAAGATTTTGATAGATTGTTGTATACCTATAAAGAGGTGCAAAAGAACCTTCAAAATAAAGCTGAAGAGAAGGAAGACATAATAAAGAGGTAGTGTGGATGAAGGAGATGGTTACTGAATGAGTCTGAAGGGGAGTCTGAGTCTGACTTTTAGTCTGAGCAGAGTCCTAATCCTATTAGGAGGACCCTTCAGAGGAAGACCCTGGGCTCTCAAGCAGTGGCACTAAGAATCTTACTGTATCTGAAGAATCTGCCAAAACCAGAATTGCAGGATTGGGCTTTGGGAATCTAACCTGGGAATTGAATTTGGAAAGAGTAGAAGTGCTGAGTCAAAGGAAGAAGAGAATCCAGAGATGGGTTCTTCCAAATAGCAGTTCATTTCTTGTTTTTCTTGTTTTTCTTTCTTTTTTGTTAATCCTCACCAGGGGATGTTTTTTCCATTGCTTTTCAGAGAGAATGGAAGGGAGGGGGGTGGGAAAGAGAAAGGGAAACACCAATGTGAGAAAGACCCATTGGTTGCCTCCGCATTCCCCCACATGCCCCAGCTGGGGACAGGGAGGGAACCCAAAACCCAGGTACGTGCCCTTGACTGGGAATTGAGCCCGAAATGCTTTGGTGTGAGGGCTGAAGCTCTAACCATGGAGCCACACTGGCCAGGGCAGAAGTTCATTTCTTGCCATCCTTCCCCTGTTGCCCCAACATCACCTTCATCATGACTTTCCTTATAATTACCAGCCACACATCCATATCATTTAGCTGTTAAACATTTATTAAGCATAAACTGTGTGGGATTCTGTGCTAAACTTGGGGACATCATCTCAGGATCTAAGGTAAGTGGTCAACCAGTGGCCCTTTTTAGTAAGGTAATAGGTATAAAAGATCACAGTCTTTGATTTATTTTAGTGGGCTTTATATATAAAGGTTTTCTTAGGACCACTTGGCCTCATTTACTGTAACTTTTCCCCACATACTAAGTTCTTCAATCACAAAGGGAGATTTTCTGAGTTAACCTTTGTAGCTGCCATGAGAGTACTTGCTCTTGAAATGCTGACATGGTCTTATATTTTACAAGGCACTTTTACATTAATCTGCTCTGTTAATCCTCACTTTAGACCTATAAAGGTCTATCAGCTGGTCCTTTACCAACCACCACCCCCTCAAAAGCTCAGAGATTAGGTAACTTGCCTGAGTCTGCACAGCTAATGATGTAAATGATAAGACTAGGGCTACAATTCATTTGTTAACTACTTTGTCAGACACTGCTAGGAAGTGCATCATGCCTTTGAGAAGTTATAGTTCCAGGAATGAGACAAGACAGGTGAACAGGTAATTTAAAATAAACACAGAGGCTAGGAACTGGTAGCCTATAGGCTAGATTTGGCTAACGAATGTGTTCTGTTTAACCTGTTCCGTTTAAACAGTTCTGAATTGGTTCCCAGTGCACCCCCAACCCCTTTTTGTTTAAGGTACTAGTTACATACAATACAATTCACCAATTAAAGTGTGTAGTTTGTTGAATTTTTTAACACTTGTGTAACTGCCACCACAATTAAGATAAAAAGTTTACTTGTGCCCTTGTGCACTCAATCCCTTCTCCCAGAAATGACGTTATTGAAAAGGTAGACATTTCACATTAAAAGACTGAATTAAAAAATTGGAACCCCTGACAACAGTGGACTCTGCATTCCTGAAGGGCAACAGTCATTAGCTTGCTGTTTGCAGCTCCCCATAGTTGATGTTAAATGTTGCAACAGACGTGCGCACCAAGTGCCCCAGGGGAACAGAGGACTGTGGGATTAACTCTGGGAAAGGCTGCACAGAGCAGCTGGCCTGGAAAGAGAGCTCGTAGGGAGAGCAGGTGGGAGTGAGAGTGTTCTAAACCCAGGGGGATTAGAAGGGAGCCCCGGGGGAGGGGCTGATACGGGGTCAGGAAAGCAGCAGAGTCCCATTTGTTTTCGTTGGCGAGATGGGCCTGTATAAAGTGGAACACTTTCGTGTATGCGTCTCAGTCTCTGTGTGCTTTGCATTCTGAAGGTCTTGTATGCAAAGAAACGTCTTTTTAGCTGAACATCTCTGGGGATTTTAAGATGTTTTTGTTGTTGGGATGAGAAGGGAAACTTAGCATTTTTATTTTTGTAAGGGTTATAGGTCAGCGTGTAGTGCTTGGGTTGTATGCTTCCAGGGAAAGGGTTGCCCAGAGAAAATGCCTCGTCACGGCCCCCTGCACGGCCTCGCGCGGGCGGCGGGTCTGGGGCGGGCGGCGGGGAGGCAGC